ATTTGACAGGTAATGGCAGGATGCTGTAATTTATGGTAAATAGATCATGACATACACAAACTTCTCTACTTTATTGATTTTATTCATGGAATGAAATGATTTAAAGATTTCGTTAGCAGGGAAAGGACGAGGTGAAATAGGAATGATGTGAGTGATACGATTTTATAATTCATTTATAACTGTCTCATTTCACAGTTCATAAAAAATTTCAAAGAAAGTTGGTTAAGGAGTGTGTCAATTCAATGTCGCTGATAAGACAATACTGTAATTATGCACCCAATGTGCATCGGTAATGAAAATGAAAGGATCCGAAAATTCATTTAATTCCCACAAAGCAATGATTGTACTCTGCGAAGAGACGCAACTCATATTTGTGGCGGATTAAATAGTTTTTGTTTTGAAGTAGGATTTTTGCTTTCCGGAAAGAGGTAAAATGATGAGTAGACGGACAAACATTCAAATAATTGTTGTGATGAAGTCCAGTTGATAATCCTGATGGCATGAATGAACTTGAAAGACTTGTTTGTTCTGATGTCACGAATGTCAGCAAGTTATCGGAGTTGTTAAACTTCCTCAGGAGGATGACCATTGCCAACCTTGCTTTTACTGATTAGTTAAGAACTGAAATTTGCTTGCAATTTGAAAGGTAATGTAGGATGCTGTAATTTATGGTAAATGGATCTATGATATGTACAAGCTCCTCCACCGTTTTTAATTTTATTCATGGAATGGAATCATTTAATAATTTCGTTAGCAAGAGGAGGAAAGAGTGAAATAGGAAGCGATCGTGAGTGATCCGACTATGTATTCCATTTGTAACCACTGACAGTTGACATAAGACAAACTGTCTCATTTCAGAGCTCATAAAAAATTTCATAAAAGCAGCATGTCAATTCAATATCGTTGAGAAGACAATACGATAATTATTGACCCAATATCTATCTGAAATGAAAATAAAAGGATCCGGAAAATTCGTTTAATTCGTACAAAGCAATGATTGCACTCTGCGAGGAAACGTGATTCGTATTTGTGACGGATTAAACAGTTTTTGATGATTCAAAGTTGAATTTTTGCTTTCCGGAAAGAGAGAAAATGATGAGAATACAGATGAACATACAAAATTTTTGAAAGACTCGTCGAATATATTTTATTCAAATAATTGTTATGGCGAAGTCCAGTTGTTCAGTATATCCCTTTAGCTTTTCCTGATGACGACAAACATTTGCTGCGAAAGAAGAAATGAAGAGATGGAAGAAAACGATTCCTTAAAAGCAAAGAAATACACGAAAAAAAAATTGAAAATAAAATACGAAAAGTCAGAAATATGGCAAACTTGTTCTTCCGCTTTCACTTCATCTGCGCCTTTTCTTCAATTGTGATTTTTGATGAAATTTAAATGGTAAAACACTACTAGACAAGATCCAAGCGTGATGTTTTACTGAGTTAACGAGGTTGTTTGTTGGTCTAAGTCTGCTTACTTACTGAAAATAGAGCCCGGAGAAAGGCTTTTGGTCAGCTGTATTTGTCGTGATGACATCCAGTGACTAAAGATCAACACACAAGTGAATGTTGAGGAAGTTCGAACTGGGCATATTGTGCATTTTGCGCCATCGATCGAAATGAAATTAATGTGCTAGCAAAAACTTAGAATTGAAAACAGTTACTCTTTTGTGTTTGGTTGAGTCATTGTCAATAACAAAAAAAGGAAAGTCGATGGAAGAATTAAAAGTGAAACGAATTACTGTCTGTTTGCAAAAACGATATGAAAAGGTGAAATGTGTTAATGACCGGAATGATTTTCTTAAAATTCTAATTTCAATTTGGATTGTAGTAAAAAACCGATTTGTTGAGAATATTCGACAGAAGCATCATTATATCATTCACAAAATACAAATTGTTGAAACAAATGCATTTGTTAATTTATTGAATATATTTTTGTTTTATTAGGACGTTAATACCACTTTATATTATATGATTTCATGTGATGATGGAAGTATAACCAATTTTGGCAGTCGGATTTCGATTTACTTTTTTCTCTCTTTCTTCTTATGATGAAATATATAGGCGGAAAAATTATTTAGTTGTTAGATTAACCCAATGGAGAGTATTCAGTGCGGAAGAACATTGAAGGGTTGATGTAGTTTCAATAATTCATCTAATGATAATTAATCATATTACCATGATGTGATTTCG